CAATGGCGTCGCTTGCACCACGAACACCACGTTTCAGTTATGTTTTAACGGTAAGCATTTGTTTTCCTTCTTGGATTCTTTAAGAAACCCTATAAATTCTCAATCTTGCATGTGTCTAGGTGTACCACAGGGAACGACGTGGTCTTGTCCCAACGAGGGTGAGGTGTGCACCTCGCTAGGCTCAATTTGTGCAGATGCCGAAAGCAATTCTCTGATTCAGGCTGCTTGCGGCAATACCGAACAATGCGGAAATTGTGAAGCTGTCAACGATGGCGCCTACTCTTGCACCAGTCACACCACATTCACCATGTGTTCAGCGGGCGAAGCAACTACTGTACAAGGCAACTGCCCCAGCGGTGAAGTTTGTCTCACATCCAGAGCCAATGAGGGTGTTAGTCCCTGCGTCAATCAGTGTTTGCAGGACATACACGACATGTGTGACTTGAGCTCGGATTCCACAACGACAACGAGCTCTGAAACAGTGACGTCGTCGTCAACTGCCATCACTGATTCCACAACAACAACGAGCTCTGTTACAGAGACGTCGTCGTCAACGGCCAGCACTGCGACGTCTTCCACCGTCGAGAATACAGAGTGCGCGACTAAGAGCTTGGTAGGGCGTTACCCTTATCCAAATGATACAGTGTGTACTAGGTAAGTGCATGCGCTTCAATCAGCCACTGTGAATACCGTAAATCCATTAAATTCGTGTATTTTTTGTGATTATAGCTACATTTACTGCTACTACAGTGTCGCAGCTGGAACTTTACTCGGTCAAGCAATGACTTGTCCCACTAGCAAATACTTCAACTCGGCTATAAGAAACTGTCAAGCTGCAACGCCTACTGGCTGTGTTTAAATTTAAGAGCCTTCGGATGGCAAATTAATTTTTAGTGGAAAAGTGTGATTAGTTTAATATAATAATTATAAAAGTAAATAAATATCCTCAGCCCAGTGAACCGAGATTTTAATGTTTACGGTTGTTGAAATAAACATAATTAATAATTAATACGACTTCGGTTTTATTGACAGTTCATCAAAAAAAGTAAAAATTCACAATGGTATGGTATGAAATAAAGTTAAGATAACAAAGTGAAGAAGAAAAGTGAATAATACCCAACATTCTCCCCCACTAAGAACGAATGTTCTTAAACCTGGTAGTCATGGTTGTCGTGCACATCAGGTTGTTCTTGGTCTAGATTTGTAGGTTCCATTATTGGCAGCAAACACACTTTTGTAATAGGACGCTTCAGGAGTTTACCGTTACATAAAAGAGTAACAACTCTTACTAAACCATCTGTTCCGGTATGGACTTGAAGTATTCGCACTAATGGCCAATATCCTGGAGCACTTCGTTCATTCTGTAGCAAAACAACGTCGCCAACCATCAGATTTCGATGAGTTTGAGACCATTTTGAGCGAGACTGGAGGGTATGAATATATCCCTGCAAAAATCGTTGGACCATGTACTCTATTTGTGGTAAATTGGAGTACTTACAAAAGTGTTCCTCTGTCATGCTGTAGCGGACCAACTCGTGTCTCTGCGCCAGCTTATTAATTGTTATCCGACCACTGCTCGTGTTTTAACGAAACGTGATTGAAGTTGAGCATTTGAAAGCACATTTGCATGTCTGGCTGTAGCTGAACGTGTAGAGATGCTCGCTGTTAGTTCTTAGCTCCCAGCATGTTCGGGTTCGAATACCGTCAGAGCCAACATGTAATTTTTAATTTTTGTCTTGGTTTTTATTAATTTCGAAAAAGCATTTGAGAAGTGAAGAACAAAAGCGTGTACAAACGAAAAAATATAACAACAATGCCCATTGTTAATATGTTGGAGTAGTTTTGTGCTACTCTGATGTAATGCAGGGATGGAGTATATGGTCCTGCCCTAGGACATCGCAATGTTAATTGGACCATATTTTTTATATGAATTGTGGTTAATTTTGGAGTACTCTTTGGTCCTTAGGGAGTACTCTTTACACGCATGCATGGAGTAGTCGCGATTTTTGCAGGGATTCACCACTCCATCGTTGCCAGAAATGTTGTTTAAGACGTTCAACTAACTTCCAGCGACTCAGAGCGTCAACCTTGTGAGATAAGAGACTCTCTTCAGAAACGCATGTTGTTGGTTCGCCGACAAGAAAGTGTGCAGGAGTTAATGTTTGGTTTTCGTCAGGGTGGCTTGGTAAAGGGCACAATGGTCGCGAATTTAGACAGCTTTCAATTTGAGCTAGCAGTGTGCTAAGCTCCTCAAAGGTAAGAATGCGGTCTCGCATTATTCGCCGGAGATGATGCTTAGCCGATTTCACACCGGCTTCCCACAAACCTCCAAAGTGGGGTGAAGCGGGAGGAATAAAGTGCCAAATAGTTCCTTCATTGGCTAGCCCCGCTGCCAATATTCAGGCAACTCTAATTTTTGACGTTCGAAGCAAAGTTTAAGTTCTTTGTCAGCGCCCATGAACGTAGTCCCACAGTCAGAATACAGGTCAGTGCAGCGTCCTCTTCTAGAAATAAATCTCCGATAAGCCGCAATAAAAGCCTCGGTTGTTAGACTGGATACTGCTTCCAGATGAATAGCTTTCGTGCACATGCAGACAAAAAGACAAATATAAGCTTTAACAGCAGAAGATTTTCGAAGTGCAGAATCCTTTATTAAAATCGGCCCAGCATAGTCAAGTCCGCTGTGTTTGAATGGCCTGGTAGGTTGAAGTCAAACGGCCGGTAAGTTACCCATTTTTTGTTCATGCATTTTGGCAATGTACCTGACACATACAAGGCACTTTCGGAGGACTGATCTGGCCAGGCTTCGGGATGATAAAATCCAAAATCGCCGCAGAACATATGTCATCATTAATTGCACCCCACCGTGTAACGTTTGGTGATGAGCATCTGTAAATATAAGTAACGACAGTGGGTTGTGCTTAGTAAGTAAAATTGGATGTTTGGTTTCGAAGGTAGTGTTAGCCTTCGAAATTCGGCCTCCGACTCTAAGTAGGTTATTTTCATCAAGAAACGGAGCGAGTTGAAAAATCCTACTGTTGTTGCTCAGAGTGTTTTTCTTTGATAAGCAGTTTATTTCATTTACGAAGTCTACACGTTGAACAACTTTAACAACTGTGATAAGTGCGCGGTTTATTTCGCATGATTTTAAAAACCCTGTCTCGTGGCCTTTGTTCTCTTCGTTCTTTTGTTTGAGCACAGCTGACTTGAGAATGTTGTAGAACCGGAGTATGTACGCAGTAATACGAAGAAGTTTAGAGAGGCTGGAGTATTTTGTAATCAGAGAGTAGTATTCAACATCTTTTGACGTTAAAGCAGTGTTGTGTAAACTGACGTCCGATCGTCGTTCCTCGAGATTTGTCTCCAAAGCCTTATTGAGTTTAGGCCAGTGCGATTGTGCTGATATTAACCAGGGTGGTCCACTCCACCACAGAGTGTGTGTACGAAGTTTAGAAGGTGTTAGGCCTCGAGTTAAACAGTCGGATGGATTTTCGCTTGTAGGAACGTATTTCCATTGAGATATGCTTGATAGCCGTTGAATCTCGGCTACTCTATTGGCGACATATGTTGCCCATCGATGAGAATAGCTCCGAATCCAACTTAGAACAGTCGTGCTATCTGTCCAGTAGTAAGAATTTTCAATGCTCGATCCAAAATAGGTTTTGACTTTTGCCATTAATTTCACCAGTAAGGTAGCTGCACATAGTTCAAGACGTGGAATTGAAAGAACCTTTAGTGGCGCTACCTTCGTTTTTGATTGTATTAATGTTGTAGAGATAGCGCTATCTGTATAAACTACTACATATACTACAGCACCATAAGCTGCCTGAGAGGCATCGCAAAAACCATGTAAGTCAACTGTGCTTGCTTGATTGTAGCCCAACCATCTAGGTATCTTGATTTGTTCTAGATCTCTCAAAGTGTCACGATATCGAATCCATTCTGAATGAAGTTTTGGTGGAAGGGGATCTTGCCAGCCTAATCCTTCCAACCACAGCTTTTGAAATATAATTTTGGCTACGATAGTGGTAGGTGCGAGCCAACCTAATGGGTCAAAGAGTTTGGCCGCATCTGACAGAAGGCTGCTCTTAGTTAACGTGGGAGCAAAATTAAAGTCGATTTTGAAGCAAAATTGGTCCTCCTTTGTTTCCCAATACAGCCCTAGCGCCTTAACGAAATTCTCAGAAGTTAATTGAAATGAGTCGTGCTTATCGCGGTATTCCATCGGAATGAGTTCTAAAAATTCTAGCGAGTTAGAATTCCATTTTCTTAAATTGAAGCCCCCACTTTTACATAGCAGAGTAAGTTGTTTGTTTAATTCTGTCGCCTCTTGAATTGAATCGCAACCAGAAAGTTTATCATCAACGTAGCTGTCATTTAAGAGAATTTTGCTAGCAATGGGAAAAGAGCTCTGCTCATCATTTGCGAGCTGATGCAACACACGTATGGCTAAATAAGGTGCAGAAGTAGTACCATAAGTAACGGTGCACAGCTTATAAATTTTTATGGTTTTAGTAGGGTCTTCTCTCCAAAGAATGCATTGAAAATGTTGGTGCTCATTACTTACGTTGATCTGCCGAAACATTTTCTCCAGATCAGCTGTAAATGCTATTCTGTGACGTCTCCATCGCGATAGAATATACGGTAAGTCATTTTGTAGTGCAGGTCCAGCAGCAAGTTCTGCGTTGAGCGAAGTCTGCTCCGGATGATGATTTCCACCGTCAAATACTACTCTTAGTTTTGTAGTGCTGCTGCTTTCTCTTAAGACGCCATGATGACAGAGAAAATATGAATTATCTGGAAGGTCTTTCGGATACTCGCCTATCTCTTTCATATGCCTTAGACTTACATACTCATCCATGAACCTTTTGTAAAGCAGTGCAAACTCCGGTTGTAATTTAAATCGTTTTTCAAGCTGGCTTAGTCTTCGAAGTGCGTTGAAGTGAGTGTGACTAAATGACGGTAGTTCTGCTTGGAGAAAAAAACTTTTAAAGGGCAGAAGTACAGTATATCGTCCGGTTGCGTCGCGCGAGTGGGTTTCTAAAAAATGTTTCTCAACTGCGGCTTCCTCAGTTGACATCGGTCGAGTTTCTATCAGGTCTTCCTGTTCCCAAAACAAACGTAGCTGGTCATCGAGAGAAAATAAATTGACGGAAAAACTGCAGTCATTAAGACTTGATTTTATCGGACCCGAGATCATCCAACCAAAATATGTTTCTTGTAGTAATAAACCATTGTCGCACTTGATCATTCCAGAAAGCAAAATGTCGCAGTATAAATCCGCACCCAAAATAAAATCAATTTTAGCTGGTGAACTGAAATTGGGATCGACGAGAAAGACGCTGGGTAAGGTTTTCAGATAACTTGCTTCTATTGCTGCCGGAGTATAAGTTGTAACCTTTGGTAATAAAAGAAAGTGGCATTCAAGGTTGAACTGGTAGTTATAATGTGAACGCAAATTAAGTTTGACAGCTTTTCTTGCAATAAAAGATTGTGACCCTCCGATGCCCGATACATTTGCATTTATGTTACGTGTCTTCAATCTTAGCAATTGGGCTGCATCTTC